TGCCAATTGGGGGGATTCAAGAGCAAATTTGGGGGATTCAGGTGCCACTTCGGGGGATCCAAGAGCAAATTTTGGGGTTCAGGTGCCAATTTGGGGGATCCAGGACCGAATTTTGGGGTTCAGGTGCCAATTTGGGGATCCAGGACCCAATTTGGGGGTCTCGGGTGCCAATTGGGGGGATTCCAGGACCGAATTTTGGGGTTCAGGTGCCAATTTGGGGGATCCAAGAGCAAATTTTGGGGTTCAGGTGCCACTTTGGGGTCTCAGGGGCCGATTTGGGGGATTCAGAACCGAATTTTGGGGTTCCAGGTGCCACTTTGGGGGATCCAGGACCGAATTTTGGGGTTCAGGAGCCAATCCAGGTATTTTTCCCCCTCCCCAGCAGCTCCCAGGTGTTTCCTGCATTTCCCCTCTGCCCAGTTTGGGGCACCTGATGCAGTTTAAAGGTCTGGAATAGGAAAATTCACTTTTCAGGGGGTCTGGAATCATGAAATGCACCTTGAAAATGGGTGTGGAGTCATAAAATTCACACGGAAAGGGGTCTGGAATAATAAAAATCACTTTTCAGGTGGGTCTGGGATAATCAAAATCACTTTTAAGATGGGTCTGGAATAATAAAATTCACTTTTCAGATAGGCCTGAAATAAAAACTCACTTTTAAGATGGATATGAAATAATAAAATTCACTTTTAAGATGGATCTGGAATAATTAAAATCAGTTTTAAGATGGGTCTGGAATAATCAAAATTACCTTTTAAAATAAATCTGGAATAATAAAATTCCATTTTTTAGATGGGTCTGGAATAAAAACTTTTAAGATGGATTTGGAATAATAAAAATCAGTTTTAAGATGGGTCTGGAATAATAAAAATCAGTTTTAAGGTGGGTCTGGAATAATTAAAATCAGGTTTAAGATGGACCTGGAATAATAAAATTCCATTTTTTAAATGGGTCTGGAATAACAAAAATCAGTTTTAAGGTGCGTCTGGAATAATTAAAATCAGTTTTAAGATGGATCTGGAATAATTAAAATCAGTTTTAAGATGGGTCTGGAATAATAAAATTCCATTTTTTAAATGGGTCTGGAATAAAAACTTTTAAGATGGATCTGGAATAATAAAAATCAGTTTTAAGATGGATCTGGAATAACAAAAATCAGTTTTAAGGTGGGTCTGGAATAATAAAAATCAGTTTTAAGGTGGATCTAGAGTCATAAAATGCACCTTGAGGATGTCTAGGAAAAACAAAATTCCATTTATTTGTTTTATAAATAAATGATATAAAAATCCCAAGTCCTTTCCAGAGATTTTTCCTTTCCCTGGAGCTGCCAGGGAAAGGAAAAAGCGAAATAAAATCGATTTAAAGGCGGATTTTTCTGGGATTTCTCCACCCGCTTCCCCTCCCCGTGGATTTTGGGAGTTGTGAAGGAATTCTGCAGGAATTCTGAAGGAATTTTCCGGCACACTGGAGCCTTTCAGAGCAGAACAAAGGGAATATTCACCCGGGAATGGAGGCTGGGATGGAGCCAGGGGACACAAAGGGACCTTTCAGGGACAGCAGGGGGGAGAATTCCAAGGGAAATCCCGAATTTTGGGGGGAAATTCCCATGGGAGGTGGTGATGGTTGTTAAAAGTGAAGTTTTGGGCTGGTGGGGATTGGGGGGGAATTCTGTGGAATGGGAATTGCTAAAAAAAAATAAACAAAAACAGGTTGGGTGCTGGTAGGGATTCCTTAAAAAATTCCTAAAAATTTGGGTTGGACCTGGGAAAATTCCTAAAAAAAAAATCCTAAAAATCCGGGTTGGACCTGGGAAGATTCCTAAAAAAAAATCCTAAAAAATTCCTAAAAATCTGGGTTGGACCTGGGAAAAATTCCTAAAAAATTCCTAAAAAATTCCTAAAAACCAGGTTGGACCTGGGAAAATTCCTAAAAAATTCCCCCCCAAAAAATCCTAAAAATAATCCTAAAAAATCCAGGGTAAACCTGGGAAAATTCCTAAAAATATTCCTAAAAATCCGGGTTGGACCTGGGAAAATTCCTAAAAAAAAATCGTAAAAAATTCCTAAAAATCCAGGTTGGACCTGGGAAAAATTCCTAAAAAAAATCCTAAAAATAATCCTGAAAAACCCAGGGTAAACCTGGGAAAATTCCTAAAAAATTCCTAAAAATCTGGGTTGGACCTGGGGAAAATTCCTAAAAAATTCCTAAAAAAAATCCTAAAAATAATCCTAAAAAACCCAGGGTAAACCTGGGAAAATTCCTAAAAATATTCCTAGAAAATTCCTAAAAATCCGGGTTGGACCTGGGAAAATTCCTAAAAAAAAATCCTAAAAAATTCCTAAAAATCCGGGTTGGACCTGGGAAAATTCCTAAAAATATTCCTAAAAATCCGGGTTGGGCCTGGGAAAATTCCTAAAAAAAAATCCTAAAAAATTCCTAAAAATCCGGGTTGGGCCTGGGAAAAATTCCTAAAAAAAATCCTAAAAATAATCCTGAAAAACCCAGGGTAAACCTGGGAAAATTCCTAAAAATATTCCTAGAAAATTCCTAAAAATCCAGGTTGGACCTGGGAAAATTAAAAAAAAAATCCTAAAAAAAAATCCTAAAAAAATTCCTAAAAAACCAGGTTGGACCTGGGAAAATTCCTAAAAAAAAAATCCTAAAAAATTCCTAAAAATCCGGGTTGGACCTGGGAAAATTCCTAAAAAAAAATCCTAAAAAATTCCTAAAAATATTCCTAAAAATCCAGGGTAAACCTGGGAAAATTCCAAAAAAATTCCTAAAAAAAAAAATCCTAGAAAATTCCGAAAAAACCAGGTTGGACCTGGGAAAACTCCTAAAAAATTCCTAAAAAAAAATCCTAAAAAAATTCCTAAAAATCCAGGTTGGATCATGGGGTTCCCAACAGGAATTGGGGAAAATTCCTAAAAAATTCCTAAAAATCCAGATTGGACCTGGTAGGGATTGGGAAAAATTTCTCAGCCACAATAATTTTTTATTTTCATTTTTATTTTCTTTATTATTTTTTATTTATTAATTTTATTTTTGGGGGGGTTTTGCCAGCAGCAAGCTCAGGGATTCTTCTTTTTCCCCAAGAGGAATTGTCAGATCCAGAGGGGATTTTGTGTTCCAGGAGGAATTTCTGGGTTCCAGAGGGGATTTTTTGTGTTCCAGGGGGGATTTTTTGTGTTCCAAAGTGGATATTTTATGTTCCAGAGGGATATTTTGTGTCCCAAAAGGAATTTCTGGGTTCCAGAGGGGATTTTCCCTGCTCCAGAGGGGATATTTTATGTTCCAGAGTGGATATTTTATGTCCCAGGGGGATATTTTGTGTTCCAGAGTGGATATTTTGTGTTCCAGAGTGGATATTTTATGTTCCAGGGGGATATTTTATGTTCCAGAGGGATATTTTGTGTCCCAGAGTGGATATTTTATGCTCCAGAGGGGATATTTTATGTCCCAGGGGGATATTTTGTGTCCCAGGAGGAAT